TGGCTGCTGGGCAGTGGTTATGGCATCTGGCTACCTCGCTGCTACTTTCCCGCCTTCCTGCGGGGGAACAGGTGGGCTGGGGGCTGGCTGGCTGGAGCGGGCGGGGCCTGAATCCTCCGAGCTCACCTGGGCCTCCTGGGTCCCCTCCGCTGGGCCCCGGATGCCCTCCCCCCGACCACGCCCAATCTTGCCTGACCCTGCCTGATTCACCTGGGCTTCCAGGTACCTGACTTTACCTGGTTCCTTGGAACTCCTCCTGACTCCACCCAACAAGCCGGGACCTTCTCCAGACCCTGTCTGAGCCACCTAGGGGTCCCAGAACCCCATGTCTAAGCTTACCTGGGCTCCAAGTATCCGTCCCTGAGCCTGACACCTGAATCTTTCATCAGATTCTTCTGGGATCCCTGCTTGACTGGACCGATCCCACTACCCCCACTACTGGGCCCCTCTGAACCCCTTCTAATCCTTCCTGTCCCACCCGAGTCTTCCAGGACCCCCACTGCTACCCTGATCACCCCTGTTATTCTTCCCTGATCTGAGAAGCATTGTCTGACCATTTTTAAATTCACCTGGGCCCAGGCATCCCTCTGCTCAGCCCACCTGGGCTCCCTTGGTGCTGACCTCACCTGGGCCCTCTGCACCTTCACCGACTCTCCCGGACCCCTCGAGACCCCCTCCTCATCCTACCCAACCCTCCCTGAATCCCCCTTTGGACCCTCCCTGGGCCCATTTGGGATCCCTGGGACCCTCTGCTGAGGACACCTAGGAACCTCAGGATCCTTTTCTGAGCCTCGTGGGGCCTCCCTGCTTACACCCCCAGAACTCCCTTTTCCTATCTGCAGCCAACCCCTTTCTCCCCAGGCTCCAGTTCATCCGCTTGGTCTTCATCACCACCATGGTCAGCACCTTCCTGTCCTTCCTGAGACCCACGGTCAATGCCTACGCCCTCAACAGCATTGCCCTACACATTCTCTACATTGTGTGCCAAGAGTATAAGAAGTGAGTGGAGCTGCAGGTGCCAGTGGCGGGGGAAGGGGAGGCCCCCACTGCCCTCGAAGCACCCCTGACATTTATCTTAGGCACTGAGATCTCATTGACTCTGGGCTGGTGAAGGGGGCATCCTTTCCCCAATGAGTGACAGGGCCAGGATTTGAACCTCAGTCTTTCTGGCCACAGAGCTTATCCTTTTTAGCATGAAACCCCCCAAAACATACATATAAATAGAGAAAATTGCTCCATAAACCCCCACACCCACTAACCAGCTGCAACGTCTGTCAACATTTAAAAAATCTGTTGTGTATTTCCCTCACATTGTATACAATTCCATGCTTAACTTTTCAGATATTGTTTCTCCTGTTAAAGAATTATTATTTTTTTTAAGGCTGGGGGCAGTGGCTCATTCCTGTAATCTTGGTACTCTGGGAGACCGAGGAGGAAGGACCACTTGAGCTCAAGAGTTTGAGACCAGCCTGAGCAACACAGCAAGTTCTTGCCTCTACAAAAAAATTTTAAAACGTAGCTGGGTGTGGTGGCAGGTGCCTGCCATCTCAGCTACCTGGGAGGCTGAGGTGGAAGGATTGCATGAGTCCAGGAGATTGAGACTGCAGTGAGCCATGATCATGCCACTGCAATCCAGGCTGGGAGACAGTGAGACCTCAAACCCCCCCCCCCCAAAAAAAAGAATTTTTAAAGCCATACTAGGTCTTAGAAGGATAGAGTGGAAGTCTCTAAATTGGGACTATTTGAGGAGAGTTGAATAAAAATATTACTTACAAAGGGGAAGGCAAGGTGTAGAAAAATGACTAGAGGTTGTTTAGAGTAAATGTGGGATTCTAATCTAATAAGCATAGGATTCTATGATCATCTGGAGACATAGGGTAGGGGGCAATGGGAGAGGAGGCAGAAGGGAGTGATTGCAAGAACTGGGAAGGGGTAATTCTCATGAAGGCAGTCTCCTTGGGAAGAGTTGTAAACTCCAGTTGCTGATTACAATTCCCCAGGAGGAAAGCAGTGAAATACATCCTCCTAACAGTACTCTCCGCCAGTGCTATGGTTTCCTATTTGTGCCCCCTATTAGCCAATCCAACTAGAAATTATTCCAACCCAGACGGAAGCCCAACTCAACTGGGCCCATCGGCCAACCCAACTGGAAACCACTGGCCAGCTCCACTGGAAACCACTGGTCCAACCCAACTGGAAACCACTGGCCAATCTCACTTGAAACCATTGGCCAACTCAACTGCAAATCGTTGGCCAACCCAACTGTAAACTTTTGGCCAACCCAATTGCAAACTGTTGGCCAATCCAGCTGCAAATCATTGACCAACCCAACTACACATCATTGGCCAACCCAACTGCAAGCCATTGGCCAATCCAACTGCAAACCATTGACCAACCCAACTGCAAACCATTGGCCAATCCAATTGCAAACCTTTGGCCAACCCAAGTAGAAGCCCAAAGACCAGGATGTCTGTGGATTTGGTCCAAGTTATCCCCCAGGGCACAGGGCCAAATAGAGAAAGGTAGGGATAGATCTAGAGGGGGAAATGGGAGAGATGGTATACGTATTTCTAACAAAGTGAGTGATACTCCTTTAAAATAGTATCTAATACCCAGTTCATAGGAACATTTCCAAAGCTTCTCAAAGATGCCTTCTTACACATGGTTTTGTTTAAATCAGAATCCAAATATGGGCTCTTAGGTCTCTCATTCCATAACACTTCTTCCTTCTCCCTTTGTTCATGTCTCTGATTTCTTTAGAGAAGCTCAGTTATTTGTCTGGTAGTGTCATTCATGTCCTGAATTTTGTTGGTTGCTTCTTGTAGTGTCTTTTTTTATTGTGCCCCCTTATTTTTTGTATTTCCTGCAAATTAAATTAGATCTGGGTTTAGGTGCTTGGTTTTGTGGCCAGGGCAGTGCTGGCTATCTCCTGTTCTATTCCATCAGAATCCAGCAATGAGTGGCTGCCTCATACTGAGTGTTGTTAAGGTTGACCAGTTAGCTTAGATGGTGTCACCAAGTTCCTTCATTTTAAAGGTTTCCATCAACTTTTCACCGGATAGTTTCAGCAGTCATGGATGGCTTCAACAGTCATAGACTCAGGCTACCTCAATCCATAATCTCATTTGGGGGTGATTTGCAGGTTCGTTCGTTCTTTCTTTCTCTCTCTCTCTCTTTCTTCTTCCTTCCTTCCTTTTCTTTCCTTCCTTCCTTCCTTCCTTCCTTCCTTCCTTCCTTCCTTCCTTCCTTTCTTTCTTTCTTTCTTTCTTTCTTTCTTTCTTTCTTTCTTTCTTTCTTTCTTTCTTTCTTTCATCAGAGTATCACTCTGTCGCCCAGGCTGGTATGTAGTGGCACACTCATAGCCACCACAGCCTTGACCTGCTGGGCTCAGGTGATCCTTCTGCTTCAGCCTTCCAAGTAGCTGGAACTACAGGTGTGTTAAATTTATTGTAGAGACGAGGTCTCATCAAGTTGCCCAAGCTGGTCTCAAACCCCTGGGCTTAGGCAATCCTCTCGCCTCCACCTCCCAAAGTGCTGGGATTACAGGTGTGAGCTGCCACATCCGGCTAATTTTTTGGTTTATTGTAGAGATGAGGTCTCACCAAGTTGCCCAGGCTTGTCTCAAATCCCTGGGCCCAGACAATCCTCTCACCTTGCCTCTGCGCTGGGATTACAGGTGAGAGCCACCACACCCAGCTTATTTTAATTATTAAAAAAAGAAAAGTAATAAAAGAACTGCGCCTGACATCCTGTAAATGCTCAGCAAACATCGAGCAGGGATTAGGCACCTCCCCCTTGAACCCTGAATCCTTGCTCTGTCCCTTCTCCCAGCCTCTGGGCTTCATCTGCTAGGAAGGAGGAATTTTCCATCAGCCCTTGCTGGTGCTGCCCTCTGAGTCAGGCCCTGGTCCGGCCCCTTCCCTCTTAGGACCAGCAACAAGGATCTCCGGCGTATGATTGAGGTCTCCGTGGTCTTATGGGCCATCGCCCTTTCGAGCTGGATCAGCGACCGCCTTCTCTGCAGCTTCTGGCAGCAGATTCATTTTTTCTACCTGCACAGCATCTGGTAGGCTTGGGGCCTGAGGCTTGGGGCGCCAGAGTCAGAGAACCTCAGATGCCAGAGCTCGGAGCTGGAGCCTAGGGGTTGGGAGTGGAGGATCAGAGAGGGGAGACCAGATTCTGGGACCTGGTGGTGGGGGAAGGTTGCTGTCAGGAGCCTAGACCCAGGACATGCCTTTGGATGTTCAGGAAGGAAAGACAGGACTGGGGTGAGGTTGGGGACACCTCATACCCTCACCACCTCCTCTCTATCTGCCCTCCCCCCCCCAGGCACGTGCTCATCAGTATCACCTTCCCTTATGGCATGGTCACCATGGTCTTGGTGGATGCCAGGTACGAGATGCCAGGTGAAACCCTCAAAGTCCGCTACTGGCCTAGGGACACTTGGCTGGTGGGGCTGCCCTACGTGGAAGTCCATGGTGACAAGAACTGCTGAGACTTCCTGGCCTCTTGGCTTTCCAAGCACCCACCGACTTGCCCTCAACTTGAGAAGAGAGGCTCGGATCAGGACTTGAGCCTGAGAGACACTCGTGGTTCCGTCCCCCTCTCTATCATCCCCATGTTGCCGCATTCCAAGGCAGAGGATGGACTTCTGAGCAGCAGTTTGATGACTGTGGGGGGCTGAACCACACATCACCCCTCCATGACCTGTTCCCTGTCCTCTTTTATTTCCTCCTGTGTGTCCACAGCTTCCCCGGGGTCACTGTTTTCTCATGACCTGGTAGGGCTGGGCCACCAGACACTGGCAGGCATGAATGTGGCATCTGCTGGAAATGACCCAAGCTGGGGCATGCTCTCTGAGCCTCTTATAAATATTGGCGGTCACTACTGAACTCCCTGGGTCTGTCTTTGGCCAGGGCAACATCCCTGGTACTTGAGAGTTTCCCAGAGAATGGACATGACCTCAGGACAACTCATTCTATACACACGTATGTGTGTAGATCCCAAAGGCCCACCTGTATGCCCTTGTGGAATTGTGAGGTCCTCAGGTGCATAGATGAGGGAAATAGAGGCTTAGACTGGGGATCTTAATTGCTTTGAGGCATGAGACATCCGAGAATAGGGGTGGCCAACATAGAATCTCAAAGGAGAGGCTGAGGCCGGGCATTGTGCCTCACACCCATGACCCCAATTTGGGAGACTGAGGCGGGAGAATCCCTTGAGACCAGGAGTTTGAGCCCAGCTCGTACAACATAGCGAGACCTCGTCTCTATAAAAAATCAAAAAAATTAGCCTGGCGTGGTGGTATGCGTCTATAGTCTCAGCGACTCGGGAGGCGGAGATGGAAGGATGGCCTGAGCCCAGGAGGTCGGAGGCTGCAGTGAGCTATGATCATGCCACTGACGCCAGCCTGGGTGACAGAGTGAGACCCTGATACACACACAGAAAGAAAAAAAAAAAAAAAAAAGCAGCGATTAGCTGGGGAGGGTGGTTTCCAAGAGTGCAGACTTGGAGTCAGGTAGATCTAGGTTGACTCCCTGTTCCACCATTTTTTAGTTGTATCATCTTGAGGAAGTGATTTTTCTGGCTTCTGACACTCAAGCACCTTGTCTGTAAAATGAAAATAATATTCCTTCCCTCGTGGGGGTTCTGTGTGGGCAAAACAAATTTGTCAAGTGAGTAGCATAGAGTCTGGCAAATACCTATATATTCACCATCCTTTAATTTATTCATTCATTAATTTATCCATATGTCTACCTGTAAGTGATCATCGGTCTATCCATCCATTCACCCACCAATAATTTTTCCGTCTCCCACCCATCTTTGATTTATGTATATATATCCATCCATCTACCCACCCATTTCAATCTATCTACCCACCCATCCTTCATTTGTTCAACCATCCATCCACTCAACCTTTAAACCATTCACTCATTAATTTATCCATCCGTCCATCCATTCATCATTAATGTATCAACTCATCTATCAATTTATTCACCATTTATCTATCCTTCTACTCACCCACTTTTTTTTTTTGAGTCAGTGTCTCACTCCATTGCCCAGGCTGGAGTGCAGTAGCATGCTCGTGGCCACCCCAGCGTCGACCTGCTGTTCTCAGGCCATCCTTCACATCTCAGTCTTCCAAGTAGCTGGAACTACAGGCACGCACTCCCATGCCTGGCTAATTTTTGATTTATTGTAGAGATGAGGTCTCACTATGTTGCCCAGGCGGTTCTTAAACCTGTGGGCTCAGGCAATTCCCTCAACTTGGCCTCCCAAAGTTCACCCATCTTTTAATTTATCTATTCACTTACCCTTTAATTCATGCACCCATTAATTTATCTATTTACCCATCCTTTTATTCATCCACCCATTAATTTATCCTTCCATCCATCCATCCATCCATCCGTCCGTCCATCCATCCATCCATCCAGAGAGGACCGGGGTGGCCAGCACAGGATCTCAATTTATTCAATGCTCAATCTCTTCCCCAACCATCCATTCATCTATCTACCATCCATCCATCCATCCATCCATCCATCCATCCATCCATCCATCCACCAACCATCCATCTCTCCATCCAACCACCACTAATTTATCTATTTACCCATCCTTTTATTCATCCACCCATTAATTTATCCTTCCATCCATCCATCCATCCACCAACCAACCATCCATCTCTCCATCTCTCCATCCACCCACCGTTAACTTATCTATTCACATACTCACCCATCTTTAATTTATGTATCCATCCATCCACCCATTCTTACATTTTTATCCACCCATGAATTTATCCATCCATCCAGCTCTTGAGCTCCTCAATGAAGCGTTCATCCTTCAATTTCCTCTCCACTGTCTTATCCAACCATCCATTCTTTTATCTATTGTGTATCTTTTTATCCACCTATTCGTTCATGAATGTACCCAACCATCCACTGAACCATCTGTTGAATCAATCCATCCATCTATCCACTGATCCTTCCATCTACTCATCCATTCAAATACCAGATATTCATCATCATCCATCACCCATCGTCCTTCCATCCATCCATTTATTCAGACGTCTGTCCGTCCATTCATTCCCCACTCACATTTAGCCCTTTGTCTCTTGCTTAATCCACCTAAGTCATTCAGTTATCCGTTCATTCATCTATTTCTTATTTATTCATTTATCCCTTCGACAAAGATAATTCCTGCTAGATATCAAGAACGAAGACCTGGTTCTGTGGCTCAGCCTGTAATCCCAGCACTCAGGGAGGCCGAGCGGCGTGAGTTGCCTGAGCCCACGGGTTCGAGACCAGCCCCGGGCCACTTGGCGAGACCTCGTCTCTACAATAAATAAAAAATTAGCCAGGTGTGGCAGCATGCACCTGTAGTTCTGGCTACTTGGAAGGCTGAGGCTGAAGGATCGCCAGAGCCCAGCAGGTCAATGCCGGGGTGGCTGTGAGTGTGCCACGGTACTCCAGCCTGGGTGACAGAGTAAGATTCCGACTCCAAAAAACAAACAAACCAAAAAAGCAAAAAAACTAAGACTAGGCATGGTGGCTCAGGCCTGTAATCTTGGCACTTTGGGAGGCTGAAGCAAGAGAATTGCTTGAGCCCAGGAGTTCGAGACCAGCCTGGGCAATACAGTGAGACCTCATCTCTACAAAACATTTTAAAAAAATTATCCTAGCATGGTGGCATATGCCTGTAGTCCCAGCTACTCAGGAAGCTGAAGTGGAAGGATCGTCTGAGCCCGGAGGTCAAGACTTTGGTGAGCCGTGATCGTGACACTGCCCTCCAGCCTGGGCAACAGAGTAAGATCCTGGTCAAAACATAAAAAATAAAATAAAAAGTAAGTTCCAAGCACACATGAAAAACTGCTCAATGTAATTAGCCATTAGGGAAATGAAACCACGATGAGACACTATTTTACAGCCACTAAGTTGGCCATAACTTGAAAAACAAAACAAACAACAACCTCACCCCCTGCCCCACCAAAACACAAACTAGGTGTTGGAAAGAACATGTTCCTACTAGACCCCTCATACACTGCCGGTGGGAATACAAAATGGTTTAACTGCTGAGAAAAACAGCTTGGTAGTTTCTCAATAAGTTTATTCACAGATGAATGGACCAGCAAAATGCAGTCCGTTCATGTAAAGGAATATTATTCAGCAGTAAAAAGGAAGGAGTCTCTGACCTGGGCTACAGCGTGGATGGGAGAAACAAAACGCCACATGCTGTTTGATCCCGTTTATACGCAATTCCCAGAACAGGCAAACCTGCAGAGGCTGAGAGGAGGGAATGGCCAGTGACTGCTGATGGATGGTTTCTTTTGGGGGGTGATGCCCGTGTCTTGCAACTAGTTAGAGGTCACAGTTCCACAATGCTGTGAATTTCTAGACGCCACTGAATCGTGCACTTGAATATGATTCGTGCTTAGTTTTATGTGATGTGAATGTTGCCTCTATTAAAATTTTAAGGTCTGGCATGGTGGCTGAAACCTGTTTTCCCAGTACTTTGGGAGGCCAAGGCAGGAAGATGGCTTGAGGCAGGAGTTTGGAACCAGCCCGGATAGCATAGCGAGACCCCTATCTCTAAAACAAATAAATAAATAAAAAATTAGCCGGGCGTGACGGCACCGGGAGTCCCAGCTACTTGAGAGGTTGAGGCAGGAGGCTCACCTGGGCCCAGGAGGTTGAGGCTGCATTCCAGTCTGGGTGACAGAGTGAGACTCTGACTCAAAAAATAAATAGATAAATAAATAAAATAAAAATGTAAAAAGCTCCCAGGCTCATTCACAAATAAGTTTAGGTCACGAGCCCATCTTTGAACCAGTCCCAGTCGGCAGGTGAATGCAGTCCTTTGATTGGCCAGGCCTGGTTTTGTGCTTCCTGGGGTGGGGAGAGGGAAGGAGGAGATGAGATTCCTCCCCTCCACCCCAGCCTCAGCAAGTGGGGGCCGAAGTCCTCCCTCAGGACTCGTACCCTGTCATGAATCGGCATGCTCCGAGAAGGGCGATGGAGGTGACTTACATTGGCCCTAAGGAGGACCTTCAAATCAGAGACCATTGCCAGAAAAAAGAACAACACGAAGAGAGGGAAAATTGTCAGTGTCTGGTGTGCTATCTTTTTCTGTGAAAATGCCTTGGGTTTGTTTTGTTTTGAGTCAAGATCTCACTGTCATCCAGGCTGAAGTGCAGTGGCACGATCACGGCTCACCACGGCCTCGACCTCCTGGGCTTAAGTGATCCTTCTGTCTTAGCTTCCCAAGAACCTGAGACTACAGGCACACGCCACCATACCCGGATATGTTGGGTTTTTTTTTTTGCTGTGAAAGTCAGAATTTCATGCATTTTCATGGCCAAGTAATATTCCACTGTGTACAAAACCACATTTTTTTTTTGGTAGCTGTAGGAACTTGGGCTAGTTTTATACCACCTCTGTGTCATTGTTTTTAGCTTCGGGATAACATATCCTTTGTTATTTATTTTTTAATTTAATATGGGGATCTCGATCTGTTGCCCAGGCTGATCTCGAAATCCTCCCGACTCAGCCTCCCAAACCACTGGGATTACAGGCATGAGCCAGCATGCCGGGTCTGCAA